TGTCCGTTCCGCTGTTATCTCCAGAACTATATGTTGGTTTTTGATGGAACATAATGCATAGATGATCTGCGCTAATGCGCAGACTTGATTAGGTTTTAGTAGAAATCCATGCATATTAATCATCTAATTTGCATGATAATTAGCTAATTTTTAGCTGTTCCATGATTGTTCCACTGATATCTTAGCAGCTTTGTGCTACATATATGTGCTCGGTTGATGCCTGGCATGCTTTCGCCTATTATGGGTTTCCTGGTCGTCCATTATGGGTTTTCAGGTCATCCATTATGGGTTTCTGGGTCGTCCATTATGGGTTTCCAGGTCGTCCATTATGGGTTTCCAGGTCCTCCATTATTGGTTTCCAGGTTGTTCATTATGGGTTTCCGGGTCATCCATTATGGGTTTCCAGGTTGTCTATTATGAGTTTCCGGGTCATCCATTATGGGTTTCCAGGTTGTCCATTATTGGTTTCCGGGTTGTCCATTATGGGTTTCCAGGTCGTCCATTATGGGTTTCCAGGTCGTCCATTATGGGTTTCCGGGTCATCCATTATGGGTTTCCAGGTCGTCCATTATGAGTTTCCGGGTCATCCATTATGGGTTTCCAGGTCGTTCATTATGGGTTTCCGGGTCGTCCATTATGGGTTTCCAGGTCGTCCATTATGGGTTTCCGGGTCATCCATTATGGATTTCCGGGTCATCCATTATGGGTTTCCAGGTTATCCATTATGGGTTTCTGAGTCATCCATTATGGGTTTCCAGGTCATCCATTATGGGTTTCTGGGTCGTCCATTATCGGTTTCCAGGTCGTCCATTATGAGTTTCCGGGTCGTCCATTATGGGTTTCCAGGTCGTCCATTATGGGTTTCCAGGTCGTTCATTATGGGTTTCCAGGTCGTCATTATGAGTTTCCGAGGAGTCCATTATGGGTTTCAAGGGAGTCCATTATGGGTTTACGGGTCATCCATTATGGATTTCCGGGTCATCCATTATGGGTTTCCAGGTCATCCATTATGGGTTTCTGAGTCATCCATTATGGGTTTCCAGGTCATCCATTATGGGTTTCTGGGTCGTCCATTATCGGTTTCCAGGTCGTCCATTATGAGTTTCCGGGTCGTCCATTATGGGTTTCCAGGTCGTCCATTATGGGTTTCCAGGTCGTCCATTATGGGTTTCCGGGTCGTCCATTATGGGTTTCCAGGTCTTCCATTATTGGTTTCCAGGTCGTTCATTATGGGTTTCCAGGTCGTCCATTATGAGTTTCCGAGGAGTCCATTATGGGTTTCAAAGGAGTCCATTATGGGTTTCCGGGTCATCTACATGTATTATGGGTTTCCGGGTCGTCCATTATGGGTTTACGGGTTGTCCATTATGGGTTTCTGGGTCGTCCATTATGGGTTTCCAGGTCGTCCAATATGGGTTTCTGGGTCGTCCATTATTGTTTAAATATACAAGCAGAGATGAATATTGTCACATATTTTTAAATTCCTATATTTTCAAGTTTGTGTCTTCTTGTAAC